TCTCAGCACAGTTATACTACTTTCTCTAGCACTATTCAACAGTACATTAATAGGAATAGAGGGAGCATGTGGTGAGAATAATTCATTGGTGGAATTTGGTAAGGACAAGGGAGTAAGGAAATGTGTGCGTGCATGTATATATGTGTATGAAGGGAGGGGAGGAGCCAAAGAGAAAGCAGAAAGAGAATCAATAGATGTCAGAATTGAAATCCCTTGTCTCTTCCCATATCATTGTTTAATTGTAAACTTAAAGGAGTTGACTGAAAATAATGGTTTGGTCGGGATGCCAGAAGGTTTAGCAATGAATGTTGGTAGCTCTGGCATAATTGAGAAGTTTTTCTTTCTGTATCATGAATTGAGGTTTATTCTACTTTTTATTGCTATGAGGAATAATGAAATATGCAGATAAATTGGGAAGCCACGAGAACATGTGGTGATAGAAACCATGATTGTTACACTGAAATGAACAGATTCTGTTTCTGGAAGGAAATTGAGGACAGAATCATCCATCTCTTGGGTTCCTCTCCAGGAGTAGTGATTGGTTTATGAAATAGAGCCTATCTAGGAAATGTGGTGCTCAGTTTCAAGGACCTGAGTTCTTTTTGCAGTGCTATGATATATCCACAAGGTGACCTTAAGCCTGTTATGTTTCTTCAATTATCCTAATAGAGTACTGAGAAAAGGAGGATTGCTAAATAGGCCTTTTTTCCTATATCACTGAGATATCTAGATTTGTAGCATGGAGGTGTTATTTTTTGATGTTGATGGCATTTTAAAAAAATGAATAACATGCTTTGAAATCTTCAGAGACAGACAAATTCTTCCTTCTAGCCATTCCTTAGACCTGTGGTACGGTAGAAAAAGTGCAAGTCAGAGGACCTGGAGTCAAATTCCAGCATGGCCACTTGGTACCATGTGTCCTTGGGTCAGTCATTTGCTTTCTGGGTTTCAGTTTCTTCACTTGTAAAGTGAGAAGTTTGAACTAGATGATCTCTAAGGTTCCTTCCAGCTTTAAATCTGTGATCCACTGCCTACTAATTTTCTTCCTCCTTTTAGAACCTCATTAGAGCCCTCTGGACGAGATGCGGGGGGAGAGTGTATTGAACAGGATACTGTTGGGAGCAGGGTTGGGGATTGGGGAGAGGAGGTATGGTGTTTTCCCCCTTCCTTTTTGCATCTCTCTCATCCACTGTTTCTTTCATCCCAGATATAAAGTAGATAGATAACCCCATCTTGGATTAAAAATAACAATCAGATGTTTAACTGCCGCTAGGATCTGGATTGGGTGCTGATTTTGGTTAGGGTGGACCCTTGATGTTGCTATCACTCACAAGGATTCCATCTTCATAGCTTGGAATTTCTTTATCAGATCATAACCTCCTATCTTTCTGTGTCTTTGCCTTAACCTCTTAAATGTATTCTTCTGACCCTTCTGTTGTACCCCCTGATATGTGATTCCTAATGTGTAACAAGATTCTCTTAATTTTTGAACTTCTTCCTCTCATGCTTCTTCCGTCTTCTGGCACTCGTGTAGACCTGCCTTCCCTCGAATGACAGTGCATTCCTAACTGCCTGCTCTAATGCTGACTGTACTTTCTTTCATGCCCCCTGAAACACTAGTCCTAGTGGAAGGAATTGTATACTCCTCGCTCCTCACTGGCACTTTCATACTCTCCCTTTGCCTCTGTCACTCAGAGACTTCTCCCCTTCTTTGATATTTACTTTATCCAAATTTTTCTTCCAATTCTGATTCTGGTATTAATTATTTACCAACCTACAGGTCATTCTACCTCCTTTCCAAGGAGTTCAGCATATGCTTCACAGTTTTCCACCCCAACTCCTGCCTTTCTACTAGGAGACATTCAAATTCATATTGTTTTTTCCTCAAATACCCTAATCTACCCATTTCAAAATCTTCTCATCTTTTACAATCCACTCTTCTTCTCCACCTCAAGTATAGGGATGGTCACACCCTGTAGCTCAACATTACCCATAAGTATTCCATTTCTACAATCAGATACTCTGAAATTCCTTTCTCAGATCGTATCCTGCGATTTTTTGTCTTCACCATAATCTCCACTCCCTCTATCCCTCAGTATTGTTCCAGACCATCATGTTAAATCAAACCTCACTTTCCTTTTTTCTCAATTTTACACCATACCAGACTCTTACCCTGAATTACTCTCACCATCTACTTCCTGCACCTCTCTTAATGTATGGTTGAACCAAGCTGGAAAAAGTCATGCAACTCTATTGACTGGGACCACTGAAAATTTATGTAATCTAATTTCAGCTGTCCCTAACCACAACAGTACAATACAGGTAGTTTTCTTTATGCCTTTCCAAAATATGTAAAATCTCATGGTAAAACCACAAAACTTATGGGGAAAATAGGGATGGGGGTACAACTCTGAAAACTTTGTTAGTGACATTAGTTAGTGAAAAAAATGGAAACCTAATTAAAAAAAACTAAACTAAACTAATCTTATACATGTTAAAAGGTTAAGAACTATCTAAGTCCTACAATAAATAATTGGTGGAATGGGGGGGGGTGAGAACAATTTGTTCCAGTGGCCATGAAGGTGGCTGAAGCAACCACCGTGGAGCACTTAAAGTTTGGTCAGACATCTGAGATGCCAAGGTCATCCACTGCATCCTGGGCCATGGCCAGTCATCCTGACTTTTGTCTGACCTCTGGACTCTGATGACTATGGAAACAAGAGTGAGGCTGACAATTTTGTGCAACTCTGCTTCACCTAAATCCAATTCATGCATGAGTCAAGACATCACTTTTTGGTCCTTTTTTCGAAATGAAGGACAAACAACAACAATAAATAATGGCTTGTCATGGCCTTGAGCTTAGTTTCAGGCTGTTGCTCAGCCCCTGGGTGAGCTTCTAGAGCAGGTTGGGCAGGGAACCAGTTGGGCTTGCTGAAACTTGTGCCAGAAGGCATGGTAGAAGGGGTTGGGGTTAGGGGAGGTTTAGACCAGCATTCCTCCACCCAGCTCCTACTGCCCCAGAAGATATACATTAAATATGGCACTTTGCCTTGACAGAGACCTGGAAGTGGGGGTTGGAAGGGTTGAGCTTGTGAGTTATTGTGAAGTGTGCATTTTTCTGCATATTTGCTATTTCTCAGGGAAGAAATGACACAGAAGCAAATATGAAATTCACATTATGCTCAAAATGTTCCCTAATATATAAATCACTTTGGAACAAATTTGTGTTTTAAATACAAACGTTACAACAGAACTAGCTGTACTTTTATTCCTTCTTAATTGATTCTCTCTCCCATCCCTTTTAAAGTGTTCCAAACCTTCTTGATTTATCTAGCCTCATACTTTACTGAGAAAATAGAAACCATTTACCATGAGCTCCTCCTCTCCCTTTCTATCCATCTTTTGACATCTCCTTCCATTCTTTTCTACTTTGCTTCAGTTTCTGATGAAGAGATGACTCTTTTTCTTGCCAAGGTCATTCCCTCTGCATGTACCCTTGTTTGCCTTCCATCTTCTACAACAGTTGCCCCTGTAGTCAACCCCATTCCTCTCTGTCCTACAGTCTCTCTCTTACCTACTGAATTCTTCCCTGATTTGCACAAACATTTCTAAGGCTTATCATCCTTAAGAACCCTCACCAGTCCCTATCATCCTCTCACACTATCATTCTGTATCCTTCCTTTTCATAACCAAACTCCTTGATAAAGCTATCTACATTTATTGTCTACTTCCTGTCCTCTCACTCTTTTCTCAACGAGTGGTAATCTGGCTTCTTATCCCACCACTTAACTGAAACTGCCTTCTCCAAAACTACTAATGATCTCTTCAATGCTAAATCTGATGGCTTTTTCTCTGTCTTAATTTTTCTTGACTTCTCTGTAGCATTTAACACTATTGACCACCCTCTCCTCTGGGTTACTCTCTCTTCTCTGGTTTTTGTAACCCTGCTTACTCTAGGTTTTCTTCTTTGCAGTATGATTCTTCCTTTCTCAGTCTCCTTTACTGGATAATCATTCATGCCATACCCCTAAGTGTGGATATACCTCAAGAAACTGTCCTCAGTCCCTTTCCTTCTTCTCTCTCTCTCTGTCTCCTCTCTCACTTGGTGATCTGATCAGCTCCCTTGAGTTTAATTGTTATCTTTATATAGATAGCTCCGGATCTATATGTCAACCCTAGTCTCTTCCCTGAGCTCCAGTTCTTCCTCTCCTACTTTTAAAGCAGGATGCCCTACAGGCATCTCAGATTTAACATGTCAAACTAGAACTCTGTCCTTCCTCAAAACTCATCCCTCTTCCACATTCTTATTTTTATTAAGGACACCGCCATCCTTACAGTAACCCAGGTCCACGACCTCAGCATCATCTTTAACTTTTAATTCTCCCTTAGTCCACATGTGCAATTAATTGTCAGATTTTGTCATTTCTACCTCCAAAACATCTCTTACATATGTCCCCTCAAGTGACCCTCACTTTTTGCCAGGATTATTGCAGTGGTTTCTTAATAATTGGTTTCTTAATAATTGGTCTCTCCCCACTACCATCCTCTGCACAGCTGCCAGAGGGATTTCTGACCAAGGAACTCTCCCACTTGTTAAATTTTGGTGACTCCCTTTTGTCTTTAGCATTAAATTTAAACTCTTACTTGACTTCTAAAGTCATTCACAACTATCAAGCATCTATTAAGTGCCTACTATCGCACAGGCAATGTGCTAGGACACAAAGACAAAGATGAAATAGACCCTGCCCAACAAGAGCTTACCTTCTTTTGGGGAAGACAACATGTACATATAAAGTATGTACACAATCTATATAAAATAACAGGGGAGGGGCTTCATGTAGAAAAATGGTGTTTGAGCCAGGTTTTGAAGGAAACATTGCCTGGTAGATAGTAAGCACTTAATAGGTGCTTGTTGATGGACTGATTGATAATGAAACATAAATGATTTTATATGTAGCAAGGTACTGTTATTCTAATGTTGATTTTTAATTCCTTATCAGGTCATATCTGACACCTGTACGGGACGAGGAAGCAGAGTCCCAGCGGAAAGCACGTTCCAGACAAGCTCGGCAGACTCGAAGATCTACCCAGGTGAATCGAGTCAAACCAGCAAACAAGAGTATAATTCTTCTCTCTCTCTGTCTCCCCACTTATATACATCTGTCTCTTTCTTCTGCTATGGTGCTTAGTTTGTATTATCTGTAAGTGGAGTAGCAAATTGTGAAGTAGGTACTCGATAGAACCTCCTTACTATCTAGAAGGCTGTTACCTTCCAGCATGGTCTTGGGATCTGACCGTTGACTCTGACCGCTTGGGACTCAGTTATGCATCCATGTATTGAATATCTGCTCTGTTCAAGGCACTGGCCTGTGCTATGGAACTAAAAAGACAAAAATGAAAATTGTTCCGGCTTTCTTGGAGGGGTTACAATATGTCCCCAAATAAGTAAATCTAAGCAAATTTAAAAAGAAACAACACTAAGAACTGGGTCAGAAAATCAGGAAAGGCTTCTCAAAGGAGGGAGCACTTGATCCAAATCTTAAAGGAAACTAGAGATTCTGAGACACAGAAGTGAGGAGGAAGTGTTTTCCAGATGTGGGGGACAACCTGTGCCAAAGGCTAATACATCATTTTGGCTAAATTGTAGATTGTGTTAAAGGGAGTGGTGTGCTATGGAAGTGGAAGTCAGATTGGGCAGGGCTTTGAATGCCAGACTTAGGACTTTTTATTTTGTCCTAGAAGCAATAGGCAACTTCTAAAAACTTTTCCTGTTTCTGTTGAGGGCATGCCATCTTCTCAGTAACCCAAGTCACGTTTGACTCTTCCTTCTCCTGCAGCTTCCATGTCATATCATTGACCATATCTCAATAATCCTAACTCCACAATAATGTTTACTCCCACCCTCTTCTCTCCAGTCACACAGCCACCACTTTCATTCAGAGTTGATGGATAGCTTCTTCATCGATCCTCTCATGTTTTCAGTCTCTCCTTTCCCTACTTCATCTTTCATGTAGTCATCCTAAAGTTTATCTACATAGCTCTCCTTCCGTTGGCTGAAGGAAAAAGTACAAACTCTTCAGTCTAGCAGTTGAAGTTTTTCATAATCTGGCTGCAGATCACTTACCTTTTAGCCTTACATACTTTATAGTCCAGCCAAACTGGACCACCAGCTATTTGTAGAACCTAACATTTCATCTCCTGCCTCCCTGCATTTGCTCAGGCCGTCCCCCATAGCTGGGATGTACCTCTTCCTCGCTGTGCCTCTCAGAATCCTTATCTTCCTTTGAGGTTCATTTCAAGTGCGGTCTCCTCCTGGAAGCTTCCCCCAAAGGGACAGCAAGGTGGCGCAGTGGACAGAGTACTGTACCAGAGTCAGGCATCTTGTCTCAGACACTTAGTAACTGTGTGACCCTGGGCAAGTCACTTAACCTTTGTCTGCCTCAATTTCTTGTATTGTAAAATGGGGATAATAACAGCACCTACCTTTAAGGGCTATTGTGTGAATCAAATGAGGTAATATTTGTTAAATGCTTTGCAAGCTTTGAGGCACTGTATAAATGCTAGCTACTATTATTATTGTTATTCTCCTCTTCCTCCCACTTGTTAGCCTTTTCTATCCCCTTCATTTTATTTTGTGTTTACTAACCTATGTACATGGTTTACACTTTAGTTGGAATGCAGCATGTGCACAACTAGTCAGTGTTGTGTGCCAGACACTGCCAGATACAAAAGGAGAGAAAAGACAGTTCTTGCCCTCAAGGGTTTCACAGTCTAATGGGGAAGGCAATAAGCAAACAAATATGTACAAACAAGCTCAAGACAGGATGAATGGGAAATAATTAAGAGAAGGAAGGCACTAGAATTAGGGGAGTTGGGAAAGCCTTTCTGTAGAAGATGGGATTTTAGTTGACTTGAAGGAAAGCCAGTAGGCAGAGATGAGAAGGGAGAGTATTCTAGATTTGGGAGACAGTCAGAGATAATGCCCAGAGCCTAGAGATGGAGGCTCTTGTGTGAGAAACAGCATGGGGCCATATTATATCTGGGAATAAGGTGTAAGAAGACTAGGGTGGTGGGAGAGGGTGGCATGGTGAGGTAGCTTGTGGAGGGCTTTGAATGCCAAACAGAGGATTTTAAATTTGATCCTGGTATTGATAGAGATCCCGTGGAGTTTATTGAGTAGGGGAGTGCCATGGTGGGACCTGCACTTTAGGAAAATCACTTTGGTGGCTGAGTGGAGGATAGTTTGGAGGAGGGAGCGATTGGAGGCAGGCAGACCCACCAGCAGGCTGTTGGCAGTAGTCCGGGGGTGAGATGACAAGGGCCTGCACCAGAGGGGTGCCAGTGTCAGAGGAGAGAAGAAGGCACCTTTGAGAGACCTTTCAAAGGTGGAGGGTGAGAGATAGTGAAGATCAAGGATGACAGCTAGGTTATGAGCCTGAGCACTGGGAGGTTTGAGGTCCTCCTCAAGTAAGGGAAGCTAGGGGAGGGGAGGGTTTAGGGGGAAAGTGAATGAGATCAGTTTTGGACATGTTGAGTTTAAGGTGTCTTCTCCTGTTCCATATGTATGAAAGGCAGTTGGACTTGCAGGATTGGAGGTCAGCAGAGATGTTTAGGGCAGGGTAGGTAGATTTGAGAGTCATCAGCATAGAGGTGGTAATTAAATCTGTGGGAGCTGATGAGATCACCAAGTGAAATCATAGAGAGGAAGGCCCAGGACAAAACCCTGAGGGACACCTATAGTTAGAGGATGTGACCTGGATGAGGACCAGCAAACAAGACCAAGATGGAATGGTCATGTAGAGAGGAGGAGAACCAGGAGAGAGTGGTGTTCCAAAAACGTAGAGTGAAGAGGGCCATCAGGAGTGTCAAAGGTTGCAGAGAGTCAAAAAAGACTGCAAGTTGAGAAAAGGCCATTGGATTTGACAATGAAGAGATCATTAGTAACTTTGGAAAGAACAGTTTTGGCAGAATAATAAGGTCAGAAGCTAAATTGTAAGGAGTTAAGAAGTGGGTGAGAGGAGAGAAAGTGGAGGCACTTATTGTAGCGGGTCTTCTCAAGGAGTTTGGCCACAAAGGGCAGAAGAGACAGAGGACAATATCAGGGACAAAAGGAGTGAGGGGTATTTGAGGTTCGGGGAGTCCTAGGCAAGTTTGTAGGCAATAGAAAAGGAGCTAGTAGACAGGGGGAGAGTGAAAATAAATGACAGATTGGGGATGACAGAGGGAGCAATCTGTTGGAAAAGAAAGGATGGAATGAGATTGCTTGTGCGGGTAGAGAGGCCTCTCTGGTAAGGCATAAGACCACCTCTTCCCGTGACAAGGGTGAGGAGGAGTTAGGGGCAGAAGGCATCTGAGAGATATGAGATAAGGAAGAGGGGAAAAGAGGGAGTTCAAGGCAAATGTCCTCAATTTTTTTCTGTAAAACATGAGGTAAGGTTCTCAGTTGAGAGGGAGGCAGGGAGAGCCATGGGAAGTTTGGGGAGGAATGAAAATGTTTGGAAGAGCCACTTTGGAGAGTGAGATGGTGAGTTAATAAGGAAGGTAAAGTAGGATTGTGTAGTGGCAGCGAGGGCACAGTTGAGGTTGTGTAACATAAATTAGTAGTGGACAATAATTTGTGTGATTTTCTCCACCTACATTCAGCAGGATGTGTATAGGCTGAAAGTGGTAGATAGTGGGAATCATCCAAGAGTGAGGCTTGGCAGGGCACAATCAGCAATATGATAAGGGAGCCAGGGACTCGAGAAGAGGACAGCATTAAGTTCAACTGGTTTACCAAGGGGTCAAGACAGAGGGAAGAAGAGAGAATGGTGAGTGCTAGGGAGATGACCTGTGAAAGAACTGATGGGTCAAGGGATTGGAGGTCATGATGTTGATGAAGAGTAGGCAGAGGGAGTGGTGGAAAGCCAATAGATTATGGTCAGATAAGGGGAAATTAGAATTCTTGAACTTCGAAGTGATACTTCTGTGGGTCATGACAAGATTGTGGCTCATGGAAATGAGCAGGTTAAGGAACTGAATGGTTAGGGGGTTTGAGGGAGAGTTAATTGAATGTTGCAGTTGCTCGGTATGAGAGCACAAGACACATAAAAACAAGATAATCTGAGGAGAGGAAGAGTACTAGGAACTTGGGGAAACAGAGAAGGGTTGGAGGAGGAGGTGGTACATGAGCTGATACCTGAAGGAAACAGGATTCAACAGGGAGCGGCTGAAGGCTTTTGAGGAGTAGCATCTTCCAAATACATCCAGGTGTCTTCGATCCTTAACAGTCCTCCTCCCTTCCCCTCAATCGATCATCCTGTTTTTTCCTTCTGTTTCACGGCCAAACTCCTAGGAACAGCTATTTATACCCATTGCCTGTAGTGCCACTCCTCACTCCCTTTTCAGTTCTCTACAATTTGGATTTTGAACTAATCACTCAACTGAAATTGACCTTTTCAAAATTACCCGTGATCTCTTAATTGCCAAGTGTGACAGTCTCTTTTTCAGCCTTCATCCTACTTGATCTTTTTTCAGTGGTTAAATGCTGTTGACCATTTTCTCCTCCTGGAGACTCTCTTGGAGTTTTAAAGACGTTTATTACTCATTCTCCTGGTTCTCCTACCGGCCTGACTGTTCTTTCTCAATCTCCTTTGTGGACTTTTCCATGTGATACCTCATGACTGGAAGTGTTCCCAAAGTGTCTGTCCTGGGCCCTTTTCTTTCTCTATACCTACTTGCTTGGAGACCTCATCAGAGCCCATGGGCTTAATGATCATCTCTAAGCAGATGGTGCCCAGTTCTGTGTCTTCAACCTACTCTCTTCCTTGAGCTTTGGCCCCTCATCTTCTTCTCAAACTCCACACATCCAAAACAAAACTTCTTTTTTTCCCCTAAGCCCATTCCTCTTCCAAATTTACCTTTTTCTATCAAATGGGCCACAATTCTGCCAATTTCTCAAGTTCAAAATCATGTGTTATGCTTACTCCTCACACTCTTACTCCACATTTCAGGTGCCAAAAACGTGTGATTTCTACTGCCACAACATCCTCAAATCTTTCCTCTTCTCTCTCCTGCCATGACTACCACTTTTGTTAGTCCCTTATCTTCTCTTGCCTAGACTCTTGCTTTGGTTTTCCAATTGATCTTCCTGCCTCGAGTCATTCCTCACTCTAGTGTGTCCTCCACAGAACTGCCAAAGTGATAATCCTAAAACGCAAGTGTGATTATGTGTTGCCCCTTCTCAATAAATCCCAATGGCTCCCCATTGCTTCTGGCTAAAACATACTCTTATGTTTAGCTTTTAAAACTCTTCACAACCTGATCCCAACCTCTCTTTCTAGCCTTATGGTATAGGATACCCTAAAAGTCTCGGTGCAGTTTTAATCACTTTAATAACTTAAAACTGCCCTAAGGTTTTTGGAATACCACATATATTACCTTTCTTCTCATATGTTACAATCTAGCCAGACTGGCCTTGTAATGGCTATCCACCAATGGCACTACCTCTTCAACTTTGCCTTTCAAAGAAGAAAATTTCTGTCTTTCTTCCAAACACAGCTAAAGCATCATTATCTATGCGATGTCTTTCCTGATCCTCCTGTTTTTAGTGCTCTCCCTCTATAAATATCTTGTTTTTATTTGTATTTATTCTCTATGTTTATTCTGTTTGTAATTATATGTGTTTATTGTTTCATCCATTAGAAGGTAAATTCCATGCAAGTAGATATTGTTTCATTTTGTTTTATTTGTTTCCCCAGTTCTAGCAGAGTGCCTCATACATGGTAGATACTTAACAAATAATTATTGATTGATTAACAAGTCTTTGGAGGACACTGGGTGCTGTAGAAAGCCCTCATTTGAAATCTCGGCCATTTTTCTATTTTCACCTCGAGTCAGAATTTATTCTTCCCTAGGCCTAACTTTCTGTCTGAGAGAATAATGAGGCTCTTGCTTCTACCTCATCTTGGCAGCTATGGAGTCTCTGTGTCTCTTTGACCTTTGGGATCTCCCGGGCTATTCTAATGACAGCTCTGAGAGCAGCTAACCATGGCCTAAATATTGTTGTGACAGGCAACTCCCTATAGTAACCTATTTCCTGGGAATGAGAGTTGGAAGAGCCAAGGTATTGACTTTGACCTGTTTAGGACACAGACCTGAAGGCTTTGCAAACTGGGCTTTGTGCTCTCACCTCAAGGCCGTGTCTCTGGTCAGCCCTTCTTAGCTTATTGGTCTTTTTAGGAGCCATTTGCCCTTCCTCAGGGGCCTGAGGTTATTGATTCTAGTTGAATTTTGTTTTTCAACGGCCAAAAGCCACCCATCTTTATGGGAGGGATTTATTTGTGGACATGAGCTTGAGATAATAGTCAGGATACTAGATTTCAAGGATCTGAACTTTGTTTCTACCCTTGCTATCCATCAGTTAAGCCAGGAAAACTTTGGTTTAAAGTTCGACTTTCATCTCCCTGACTCTAAGGTCTCCCTCTCTCCTCCCAGGGTGTCACTCTAACTGATCTTCAGGAAGCAGAGAGAACCTTCAGCCGATCCCGGGCAGAAAGGCAATCTCAAGAACAGCCAAGCGAAAAAGCCGAAAGTGGTCTGGAGGGACTCGAGGGCAGCAGTGAAAAACAGGAGCCGCTCACAGCACTGACGAAAGAAACTGGGGAGAGCCGGCAGCAGCGAGGGAGTAGGAGCTGGGATGAGGAGGTAAACTGCTCTGGGCTGCTCATTTGTACCTAGAAGGGAGATAGGGGGAGAAATAATGTTTCTGTGGATAAACCTTTGTAGCTGCAAGATTTAGCAAGATAAACGCCTACAAGTTATGAACAAATTTCTTCTCTTTAGGGTTATTCATGCTTCTTGCACAAATGTCCAGTCCTCCAAGTGAGTGATGCCCCTTACAATTTAATAAAATTAGCAAACCCAGGAATTTAAAGGGCAGCCTTTGCTCCAATGAACTCAAAAAGTCACTCACTGCTGAGACATCCTTCATGGGTTACTGCTTTTGTACTGAAGTGAAATGGATAGATTAGGATAGGAAATAACTTTTCTACTTCTTTCTCTAGCCCGGGCCTGTCCAGTTCTTTGTAGCACTTTGTTAAAAAGCATTCTTCTTTTGTGAAATGTTTCCCATATCATAGCAGGGAACATCTTTTCCTCTCTTCCTAGCTGGAGCTTCCTGTTGCAAAAATTTTACCAAATGAACCAAATTAAGACTATATTCTTTTGCCTTACTCGTTAGGATAAGAAACAAAATGGGAAAGAAAAAGGAGAGTTGGAAAAAGGTTATAAAAAACTTGGCTCTTGCAAATTGGTAGAATATTCAAATGTAGCTGCTGGGATCTGTGCTTAAGTTCTCATACATCTAACTTCACATACTTATTGACCTTTTATTTTCCTAAGTATTAATTAACTCTCCTAATTTTCTCAACTCCAAAGTACCATCTTCTCTATCATTTTCCTTCTTTCATCAAAGCAACTTTTTCTAATAAGGCAGATGCAATTTAGTTGTCCCTTACTCTGCTCAGGAAAAATATTCTTGGACTGCTTTCAATATGGGGTTGATACAAACCATGTGAATCCTGAGATTGCACTTTTTTAGGGTAGTTAACAGGCTGACTTTCAGTCTGCATAATCTGTCCTTGGTAGAGGGAGCCTCTCATTTTTACTAAGAGCCTTAGAGAAGCTCATTTGTGAAAAATCTCCAGTGAAAAAATTTACTCTTGTATGTTGGGAATGGGCTTCTAACATCCAACCCTGTGGGTTCTTTGTAGCCTTCTTATGGACGACTGAGGTGCCTAACCCAGCAAGATAAACCCACAACACCAGTTTCTCCTTCTGGGTCAAGCCCCTCCCTTTCCATTGGATCCTATCTCCTCCGGGCAAGTAGGACCTCAGGCCTGGACTCTGAGAGTTCAGAAACTGCCACAAGCACTGCTAAGGACATGGAAAAAAATGGTACGTAGACCTTTAAAAACTAAAGTGATCCTTCTCCAGGACTTGTGGGCCCGTGTACTAAAGGCCCATGCTACCTTTTGTTTCTGGTGGTCAGAGAGTGAAGATCCAGATCTGGGTGACCACTCCTCCAATAAGACATCCATCCGGGAGAGGCGCCGGCCCAAGGAAAGGCGAAGAGGGACAGGCATCAACTTCTGGACAAATGATGTGAGTGGATGTGTTTCTTTGGGAGCCTTGGGTAGCTGTTTTCTGGGATTAGCTTCAGTTTGGTGCCACAACTCCAGCCAGCATTTAGAAAATATCCACGAAGAGGAGAAGATCACACCTCTGAGGCTATAAAACTGCAGATGATCGTACTGGGAATTTAGGGGTCAGTGCTGTAGAGGTATCAGACTCACCTGATGCTAGCTGTCCACAGCCCTCTTCCCCTTCGGACATTTAAAATAATAGTAACTCACCTTCATATCGTGCTTGAAGGTTTTCCAAGTGCTTTCCTCACAATAACCCAATAAAATAATAATAATAATAGCTGGCCTGTATATATATCACTTTAGAGTCTATAAAGGGCTTCCTTTACAGCAGCACAAAAAGGAAGGGTAGTATAAATGTTATTACTTCCATTTTTAGATAAAGAAACCCAGACTCCGAAAAGTTTAAGTGACTTGCCCAGTTCATACAGCTAATAAATATTGGAGCTGGGACCTGAACCCAGATCTAATAACTCCAAGACTACGCTCTTTTCCATGGACTAGACAGTTAAGTGGCACAGCGGACAGAACCTCGAGCCTGAAGTCAGCAAGATCTGAGTTTAAATATGGCCGCAGACACTGACTGGCTGTATGACCCCAGGCAAATCACTTAATTGCTGTTTGCCTCCATTTCTTCAACTGTAAAAGGGGAATAATCATAAGTAATAATAACTTTATAAGGTTATCATGAGGATGAAGTGAGATACTGTAAGTGCTCAGCACAGTGCCTGATACATATATAAATGCTTATTCCCTTCCCCCTCCCTTAGACTACACACCCTCAGGAAACCACATTTATGTATACAGAACTCTGTATTAATATTGTAAGGAGATACAAGGCCATAAGGAACTTTGGATGGGGGAAAGGAAGGGACCACATAAGCATGAGCTCACATGAATACAGTCAACTCAGATATTCATAGAATCATAACTGCTCGAACTGGAAGAGAACCTCGAGGTCATCTGGTCCAGTCGCCTCAGTTTACAAATGAGGAAACTGAGGCCTCTGAGAGGTGAAGGACTTGCCTCTAACATCACCCCGACTGCGGTGGAGTTGGAAGTCAAACTCAGGCTACCTTTACACTCTTTAAAGCCCTTTATACTCCACTACTACTATGATGCATAGGTAGTGAAAAAAAAAATAAAAGTATGGATGATTGCAAGATCATTTTAAAAATAGATATATGCTCCAATAAAATGACTGTGTTTAAACACTTTTCTTTCTTGGTCTGTGGCACAGCTGAGGAATCAGCGTGGACTCTGATTCCTGATTATCATGGATAACTTAAAAATGTCAATCCATTCATCAACGAGATGATGAGAGTAGTAAAATATTCATCTATTACAAGTTATTCTCTTGGTAGAGAGCTTTATTTGCTTAGGAAGTGTAGTGTAGGGGAAAGAGAATTGGATTGGGGAGTCAAAAGGCCTGAGCTCTGCTGTTGCTACCGCTGTAGCTATGAAAATCCTTAAACTTTTGAGCCTCAGTTTCTTCATTTGTACAATGAGGATAATCTTTTTTGCTCTACCTAATTTACAAGGCTGTTGTGAGAAAGTCCTTTATAAATGATAATGCTCATGCAGTTTTTATTCTTTCTGAAGATGATATAAAGTGAAAATAGGAAGAGGGAAGTTGTTTTTCTTTGTTAGCAGATGATTTTTTATTGATAAGGCTCCCATTTATACAAAATTCATTTAAAGTGTTCATCTGCAGTTCCTGAGCTTCCAACCTGTGGTGCCTATTGAAAGGGAGCAGCAGCATCAAGCATCACTTGGCAGTCACCTTTTGATATCCATCAAGCAACTTCTTGCTTGAAACACTGGGAAGTGTAGGTGATGAGAGCTGACTTTGTGGCTGCCGAGAGTGCTGTGACAGTGACTGGCCTCTCCCTTTCTCTCTCTCCATCTCTCTCTCTCCGTCTCTCTCTCTCCTTTTTCTTTTCAGGGAGATGAAGCTGACGTCACAGAAGAAATGAAAGAGGCATGGGTAAGTGACAGGCCAGTGGGACATGTCCCTCTAAGGTCAGCCTTGCTCTCATGCATGAACTTTTAATGGAGGGAGCAACAGATCCCATGTAGCTTAGTTGGCTAATGAAAATAGACTGTCTAGGTTCAAGTTAGCTATCCATGGAGGTTTGGAAAGTCATTCCACTAAGAGATATTATTTATTAGTTATTCTATGTTCTTAGGAAGCTCTCCAAAGCTATGACCTTGAATTAGATTTATGTTCTTCAACAATAGTCTGATAAGACCTGTCTTCTCTCTTTCTCAAAGAGATATTAGAAGATTATGGGAAAATCTTTGAACTCTTTGGAAGAAAAGTAACGTGGTCAATTCCTGTTTGTCTGTACTAATGGAGAGGAGGAAGAAACATGGATAATATAAAGCATCAGATAACTCCAGAGCCATTCATACTTGACTTTAGAATACAATCAGACACTCAAGAAACAAGCCTTTCTGACACTATAGTTAGAGACCTGGAGATCCCTAGCTGGTTAGAGGATAGGGAAAACCGCAGCTCAGTCCACATAAACCACAAACGGTATAATTTTCTTGAGAATAATGGAGAATTAAATATATTGTTCTTAGAGTCACTCTTTGAGAAAAGAAGGATTTGTATGTTGGCTAAAAGATTTAAAGACTACCACACAAGTTCTTTATTATGGAAAAGAGTATATAATGGAGATTTGTTGCTATCTATCTTTGTTGTTTGTTTTCACAACCAAATCGTAGTCTCAGAAGTGCTTTAGAGTCCCACATGGAAAATCAGAAACTAAGTCAACATGAGCAAATGAAGGAGTAGGTGGAGCAAATGTTTTATCACCTTTACTTCTGTATTTGAGTTGAAAGTCCAAAAAGCCACCTCCAATGCCCCCTCCACAACTGAGGTAGCAGAAATATTCTGTACTCAAAAAAGAAATACCATATTGGTGGAGTATAGGACTGTGGAAGCAAGCAGTGAGCTGCTGTGTTGTGTGAAGTTGCCAACAACTCTTTGGATCTTTGGTGTATTAATAAAAATCACTCTTGGCTCATAGTAAGAGGCTTGGGAGTAGGGGAAGGGAATGTGGGTGAACTATTGGAAATTTTTCGGGAAAGAGTTATGTCACCCTGACAGAGTGACAGAACTGAATGGCACCAAAATCTCTAGAGTGCTAAAGTCTATGAAAAGAATTGAGAATGAATTCAGTTCAGCTCAATGGTGGAAGGCTTTAGCATCATGGAACAAATCTCTTTTCAGTGACATTCAAGTTTTTTTTTTTTTTAAACTTTCTGTACTTCTTGGCATTAGAAGTACCTCTAGATGGTATATGTTTTTCAAGATGTCCTAGCCTGGAGCTCCACATAAGCAGAATTGAGAAAAACTGGGTAAGGCATTATCTTGAAAAGTTTCACTTTAAGTCCGTTTATTAAAAACTAAAGAGATCTAGCTGGTGAAGACAAGCTAGTCTTCATGGACTGGAGTGAAAGTTACTTGACAACCTGAAAAAGAATCCACTCACCCAATTCCCTGGAGCACCTGCCAACAAATCCCAAATATTAACCCCATATACCTTTTGAGGGAAGTTCAAATTGATTAGAATAGTCTCTTAGTTGTTAATCTTTAGGTGCCAGTATTATGATATGTGAGAATGAATATGGTCCAGGTCTCAGAGAATTAACCCCCATGAATGATGCAGAAGGTAAAGCTGTTGTCATGTCAACAGAGAGCAAAAAAGTTTAAAAAAATTTTAGTCCCTCTTTTTAGGCCAGTGTGTTCTAGTGCAAATATTAATTATTTTCCCTTCCTTCTAATACTGGCAGGTGTGAGACCACTTTGTACCAGCCTGCATGCCTGGTCACAGCCCAGTCTAAATTACCACAGTTCTGCTCCAGGACAAGTGGCTGGCAGCATCTTAAAACTCCTCCCTCTTCCTTACTGCATGTCCATCCACCAAAGTGGCAGCTTCCCAGCTCTGTTCTGTCAGGAAAAAGAGAAACCTGGCAACCAGGCATACAGAGTGCTGGACTTGGATGGAAATGTCCCTTTGGCTAATCAAAATGGGCATTGTTCTTTCCTCTCTGATCTTTTTTTAACTCAGTGAAACTATAGCTACTATTGAGGTAAATGCAATTCCCTTTCCCTTTCCCCGGCCTACCCTATACTAGGTATTGAAATCGTTTAATTTCATTAAAGCCACTAGGTGGAAAAGTAGATAGAATACTGGGACTGGAGTCACATAGTAGGGGTGTTATATAAATGCTCCTTCCTTCCTTCCTTCCTTCCTTCCTTCCTTCCTTCCTTCCTTCC